GAAAATGCAGTATTAAATGATTTCGATTTAAAAAAAATGTAACAATCAATTTAGTAAGTACTGTATTTTTCAATGAGATTTAAAAAAATGTTGATACAATTTTAAAAGTGTCGTTTTGTCGTTGCAAAATAATTTAATGCCAATTACTACAAGCGAAACTATACACAAAACTACAATACACACCACAGAAAAACAATTCACAACCGAATTAAAAGCCACAGATTAAAAAAAACAAATTTATTACATCACTATTTATCGACAAGCCATCAGCACATCACTAGTGGCTAGAGGGTGTGTCCCAGCCCGAGGCATCGCATTGTTTCGACCGTATGTATGACTGACGCCGACATACACATCCATACACATTCATACACAGCCATACACATTTGTATGGGACCCATACAACCATGGGAATCGCCTGTTCCTTTTTAACGTATGTTATGTGAAATTGTGGACGGTTCATAAATCATTTGGTTTATTAGTCGACTAGTTTTGCGTATAGTTTTGACTGTAGTTTTCAAAAATATGTAATTGAAATGGGAAGGTGTCTTAGGTGGTCCAAATGTCCTATACTTAAGTATAGGTTACAGGCAAAAATAACACATTACATAACGTCACGTATTTTATTGCCGAAGGGGTAGGAAGAGGTGCACATTACGGCACTTAATGCCACTATAATGCAACATCCACTTTTCACTATTTATGTTATGAGTCTCATGTAATAGGGGGTGAGCCTATTGCCATATACCGGGCACATTTCCAGACTCCGTGCTACTACTAACGTTTTTACAAATCCAGTAATACTTCGGGAATCGAACCCGAGACCCCTTGCCCGGCAGTTGCACTTGCGACCACTCTGCTGTTACTAGATGAGGGTCAGCATTTCCTCACTGACTACCCTGAGAAGAAATGCCGAAACAAACTCAGAGGTCATTGTCTCTTTTAAAGTCCAAATAGGTAAATGTAAATACCTACTGTAGTGAGAAAAGAACATTTTAAAAGAAATAGGCATTAATCACCATGCATAAGATGAATAGACAATAGGGTAGATGCCTAATTTTTATTTTAATGTCAGTCTGGTAGATTATTTAAAATCATAAGATACGTAGATATTTTATATTTTCTTACAGATACGAATACTTTCGACGATATATTGATTTTAAATGTCGCGTGACGTCACTTCTATGTACATTTTATACGTAGAAATGACGTTTTAGATCCCACTCCTAAACTTTGATTCGTTTTATTTAGGTATTGTCTATTATAAGTGAAAATAAAAAAATACGTGTCTAATATTTTTTCATCACCTAACTTACGGACTAATTAGACTTTTCATTTTCATACCCTGTCATTATTTCAATTTCAAACTTGTACCTACTTAAACAAAATAAGGTTTTTTTGCGTCACAATGTTATCTTTCAACGCACCGTATGTCAGTGGTTTCTAAAGCCAAATTGGTTCTTGTCATGTTTCGAACCCACACCCATATGGTAGGGAAGACATTACACCTCTCGATTACCCCATGACACAAAGCTTGCATAGTTGTTCTATACTAGTAGTTATTAGGAGAACCCATACACCTACCATATTATACGGTATGAATATACCAACCCCATAGTTATTCATACGAGTAAAACCAGGGTATTTAACTAGTGCTTTATATGTGGAAGTATTAATATCACGTCAATGATTTATGGGACTCGCCTGCGCAAACAGTTTTGCATATCTATCCAATCGCGACACCGCAAGCCTTTGGATTTGTAACGGAATTCTCTATTCGAAATTCATATTCGTATTTGGAATTGTTCATTTTTTTTGTTTTTGCAAATTTATGGTCGTATTTTTTTTGTGCAAGGAGTTTTATATACTAAAACCTTTTCTCAAAGTTTACTATTACCTGACTATAAATTATGGATTATTGAAAACATCATAAAAATGTGTTCAGTAAGTACTTCCTGAGCTAATTATAAACAGTTAAGCAGTCTTTGTAACATGCAAATATCATTTAAAATTAGTATTCTACTCGACACGTCTGAAAAACCGTTAAAAATTAAAATATTCATTCATTTTGGTTTGAAGGATGTATAACAGAATTCCATTACGCCAATTATCACAAGCGCATCTAAACAAGAAAAAAAAATGCTCTCGCGTTCGATTTTTAAAAAGCTCACCAAAAGAGCCGCGGACAATTCCAAATTCAAAAATTTTCCACGGCGCGCGTTCGGATACTGAATAAAAAAGTTTTAAAAAGTGCGTTCGATTTAATATGCAGCGCTGAGAGTCATGCTCTCTTTAGTGCTGCGATAGTGATTGTTCTTACTCGATTTTTATTAGTAAAAACATCGATTCTAATCGATTTTCCTATAAAGGTAGTTTTGCTTACGTTTCACGGAAATTGCACATAATGTTCTTGCCGTAAAGTGATTCAAACGTTATGGTTTTTTAGCAATAAATAACGAGAGCCTGTAAAGAATTGAATTAGCTTTTCTGTGTGTCTTATATTTAGATACATAGTAGGCTTACACAGATTAACGTTTAATAACCACACGTATTTTTCTAATTACTCTTATTATTTTATAACTCAAACAACAAAAGGAATCAATAAACGCGACTCAAAAACCTCCCAAAACAATAAATCGACTAAGAAAATCGAGTACCCAATCCCACCACTATCGAGAGGCTTACCAAAAAGCGTGGTGTTAGTCTTACGGCGATCCGATGTAGCGATATGAAGCCAGTAATTACAAGTTACAACTAACTATAGCTATTATCAAGTAGCGAAATGCCTTTCATATATTTTACAAAATGGATGGCCATGTTTCACGGCCTGTCTCACAGACTTGAATATTTATATTGTGAATTTATTGCGAAAAAGTATATGGTGATTTATACGAGGCGAGTATTCGAAGTTCGAACGCAGTGGTGTACGTTGTGTGTTCGTGTTCGAATTTTCGGTTGTGATTCAACGGTTTTATAAAATAGTGATGTAATGTTATTGATTTGTGTATTTTTCGTTATGATTAGTCGAGTATTTTTGTGAATACTTTATTTTAGGAGATGTTGTCTGTAAAATGACTGGGTTAAAGTTCAAGTTTTAGCTTAAAATTTTTGCTCAAATAAGTATTATTAGAACCCAGGTGTAAAATGTTTTAAGAAGAAAAATACAACAGCAAAGTTTAAGAAATGTAATTAGAACGACTAGATAATTGTGACAAAATTATTGAAGCCACAAATTAACAAAGTAACAAAGAAAAATTGGTTGCAAGGACAAACTTATCAACGGTTCGACGAATCTCGAATAAAAAGGGGCGGCTATACCTCGGAGGACCTAACGGGTTACCGGGGCTCCGGCTCGACGTGCAGAAGGTACAGGGTGGTTTTTAGTCAGTAAGAGTCTGACACTAAGTGGGGGCAGTCATTCGATGATTTTCCCCCTTTAAAAAAAATACCTCGACATGACTTTTCTAAATTTTCTTCTATCTCCAAAGATTCCCAACAGTATTGTTTTATTAGGCTTTTGACATATATTCAAAGTTGCAAAATATGCAAGCCGGTTGATGGTAAAATGTTTTAACCCGTACATAATCGTAGTCTAATTACACCAGCAACACCAGTGGCATCACGACTGTCATGTTGCCGACACTTAATCTTTGGCATCATATTCAATTCGCTATCGATATATGTATAGATATTGTATAAGATATTGTATTCTATCGTTTTAGGTCTGTGGACCACGGACAAGACTTCATTTTTCTTTAGAATAGCTTATAGCTTTGAACCTTGGTATTTTTAATTTATATTACTTAAATCTATAATATTTCTATTATACCTCCTTACCTTGGTTTACCCACGCTTTATATTATATTATATATTTTTTTTATTATGTTATGTGTGGTCTGCGCAAAAATAAATGTTTTTTTTCTTTCTTTTCTTCTTTCTATCCAAAATGGTTGGAGTTTCTAACAAAAATCCAGATCAATCCAAAGATATTGGATTAACATTGGCCATTAGTTTCGGTTTCGGCCATCATTAAATTCGTCTTTTATAACGGTGTATATAAACTTAGCTAAAAGTTCCTAAATCCTGTCTTTCTGTCTACTCCCTCAATGTATACCAGTCGGCATAATATCATAAGAATCATAAAGTAACCATCAATTTCATCAGTATTACTAACAAGCGTGAACACAAAACTGGAATCGAACTTAGGAAATATAATTAAATAGATTTCGGCGCCATTCATTTTTGAAACTTGATTGATTTTTATTGCATGTTACTTCTTTGATGTGACCGGGGAATTAACGGGTTGTTGATGGGTAGGCAGGGAAGTATAAATATAGTTTGGTATCACCTGCTTTGCTTACGGTAAAATCTAGTACAGCTACGTACTTACATGTGTTTATGATCCTTCCGATCAATTTCGTCTTCGGATCTAATCATTCAAGACTGTCTGTTGCTAGGACGCTGATTTACATTCCCTTTGTGTCCTGAGATTCAATGCATTAATGTTTTTCTGGTTGATATTGTCTATTGTAAATCTTGGAGCACGAATTACAGTGGCTTTTTTAAGGAAATAATCGAATGACTTCTCCCGCCTGGATGAAGCGAAAGCGTGTCAGACTCTTACTGATTAAAAATCACCCCGTTCGTACTCCTGCGATTCGAGCCGGAGCCCCGGTAACCCGTTAAGTTCTCCGCGGCTCTGTATCGGCATCAGCCCTATTGGGCCCCATCCGTGATGGTCTGATGGCTCTTTGAAGAGCGCGCAGAACGCGACACGCCATTCTGGTTAATTATAGTGGCTTAGAATGTATTGAAGGCTTCTAAGACATTTAACTTCTTCTTCTAGTCCTAACACTATACATCTATAATATCCATTCCCCAAATTTGATGGCATGGTTGGTGCGGTGACTGGGCAACCGGCTATCGAGCAACGTGTCGCAGATTCGATTCCCTGGTGTACAACGTTTCAAAAAAACTAACCAAAAATTTTTCTCCCACAGAAAAATGCGGCCTATCAGATGACCCGGGCCTTCGAGTAAATGGAAAAGGCAAGAAAATGAGAAAACCTCGCACGATATATTCTAGCCTTCAGCTGCAGCAGCTAAATAGGAGGTTTCAGAGGACTCAGTACCTAGCACTCCCTGAGAGGGCTGAACTAGCCGCCAGCCTTGGCCTCACACAGACTCAGGTAAGTGGTTAAATCTAGATTGATTTCTTTTGTTTTTTTTACCGATGTTTATTGACGTTGAAATAATAAGTAATGTTTGAAGGGACATAATGTTTTATCATGTTTTTTTAGAATTTCAAGTGTTTTTTTTTTGTTGTAATAGGTTTTTTTGTGACGACTCCTTCAAGCAAATATCGTGACGATGTTTCGTCATTCTAAAGTCAATATAACACATGATTGTCAGTTTTAAATTTTTGGGGGCATTATCAATATGTAAAAATGCCATTTTCAAATCGAACAAGGCTTTAATAACACATTTGTTAAGTATCTACTTTTACTACTTTCATTTAAAACAAAAATATCTTCATTCATCTAAATATCGGTTGCAAACACCTATTACTGAAACTAAAACATTTTTTTTACATAAAAAAAGAAAAAAACTTTAAAAAAAAATCCCCACACGTCGCCAGCATAGTAATTATGTCACATAGGTAGCAATTAAACGTTGTGTGTACATTCACTAGAATTTTTTTATCTGTAAATCTGTTTCCATCTAAAAATAAACCTTAGACACATTAGAATAGAATATAAAATAACAAAACGACGTTTCCACCTTGTGTTCGTAACGTATAATTAAAAGACAAGGAGTTTTTTTTTTAATATCTGTCACAGATAACGCTCTGCTGCCTCTAAGTAGTAATTTCATTGTGAATAGTCTATGGTTTTTTTATGAAATAAGTGCTTAGTGTATTTTTTTTTCTTTTTCAATCTAGTTTTATTTATTTTATTTTTTGCGGGGAATTATTTTGTAAAAGGTGTTTGAAATAAAGCTTAGTGTTTAGATATTGTTTCGCGCCCTACGGCGATAGAGCTAACAGCGATGGAAGCAGTAGAAAATTTTATACCTTTACTAGCGGACCCGACAGACGTTGTCCTGCATATCCACTTGAATGTATAAACAAAAATTCATTCAAATTAGTTCAGCCGTTTAGGATAAATAACCTAAATACCGACTGCAGCGCCATCTGCCGGGCTGATTTGTAAATCTGAACCATTCAGGGCGCCACTCAAACGCGTACAGAAAAAATCATTTAAATCGGTCAAGCCGTTTAGGAGGAGTTCAATGACATACACACGCACAGCAGAATTATATATATAAAGATACTACTTATGGACCAAATATATCTAGTTCAGGAAATAACAAGATTTGAAAATTAATCTATACGTCTAAATAGATAAATAAAATTGAAGGCATAATGTGCACCTCTGCCTACCCCTTCGAGGATAAAAGGCGTGATGTTATGTTATATGTAAAATTAAAGTGTCTGTTTGTAATATTAAAATAACCGCTTTTTACTACATACCAAAATAACATTTTTTACAACTGTCTGTCTGTTTATACTGGCTAAACTCTGAAATGGCTGAACCGATTTTGCAAAAAAAAATATTAGAAGGTAGCTAATGTACTAAGGAATAACATAGGCTACTTTGATTTTAGAATTGAAACAAAAAAAAAATAGGTATATTCTGAAATATTCTACGTGAATGACGGACATGAAGAATGAATTGACTGCACGGTTGGTGCGGTGGCTGGGCAATCGGCTGCCGTGCAACGTGTCGCGGGTTCGATTCCCGCATGGAACAACACTTTGTGTAATCCACAAATTGTTGTTTCGGGTCTGGGTGTCATTGTGTATGTGAACTTGTATGTTTGTAAACGCACCCACGACACAGGAGAAAATCCTAGTGTGGGGCAACGTTTTTTTTAAAAAAAAAAAAAAAAAATGAAACAAAAAAAAAATAGGTATATTCTGAAATATTCTACGTGAATGACAGCTAGTTAAACTGTCAAACACCAAGCGGTCACCGGTGACCGCAACCTATTGTTCTATAATTGTGTCTATAATGACGGTACTCGACGAGTTAAACATAAGTTTGTTCCGACGGCTTCTTCAATATCAATTTTACGTTCCTTAAAATCATTATACTTTACTTGGTCCATACATATTTCACTACACTACATGGGACCCATAACATAGTGAAACGTGGGTGATACTTCTGTGTGCACCTCTGCCTACCTCTTCGGGGATAAAAGGCGTGATGTTATGTTATGTTATATTTGACTATTTAAAATTTTTAACTTGACTGCCTCGTTGGTCGAGTGGTCGCAAGTGCGTGCGTCGCAAGGGGTCTCGGGTTCGATTCCCGGGTCGAGCAAAGTATTATAGGGTTTTTAAAAAAAATCAGTAGTAGCACGTAGTCTAGAATTGTGCCCGGTATATGGCAATAGGCTCACCCCCTATTACATGGGACTCATAACATAAATAGTGAAAAGTGAGTGATAGGTACTTCTGTGTGCACCTCTGCCTACCCCTTCGGGGATTAAAAGCTTGATATCATGATATATTTGACTATTAAAAATTTTTAAATGTATAATTTTCGGATAGCATATTCATACCAATGCAGTTATTTTACAATACTTCTAGGCAATGTTCGTTCCAATCTACAAAAAAGTAATTATAACTGAAAAAAGTACATTACACACATCCCAAATGCAATCAAATCGCCTATCATTAAAAAAAGCCTGCACCATAGACAAACGCATGCGTTCGGAAACCATATAGCGATTGGTTTCGTTCAGAAATTGATTCGTCATGTGTCACCGTAAGGAATGAATAATCGTAGTTTGAAGCGAACGATGTAGACTGTAGTGGGTTGTAGACTTGGCTGAGACACTGATGTAATTTTAAAGTATATATATACATAATAACATTTACCCCCGAAGGGGTGGGCAGCGGTGCACATTACGGCACTTAATGCTACTGTACAATGTAATTCACTTTTCACTATTTATGTTATGAATCCCATGTAATAGGGAAGCCTACTGCCATTTACCGGGCACAATTCTAGACTCCGTGCTACTACTGAGATTCTTTTATAAACTCAGTAATACTTTGCCAGATTTGAAAATCTAAACCGAGACCCCTTGCCCGTCGTTCTTATATTTCTATGTGTTTATGTTATACCAATATAACTAAACATTTTTCAATTGTATTTACGAGGTCACCTATATTTGCGTCTAAATGAATTAATTCCATACGACAGTTTTAGGTGCAAAAGCGTGCCAAATTTAAAATATTAACTTTTCTTAGGTCATCGCCCAAAAATCGTGCAAATATTTTTTTGATTAGGAAAAGTCCACTTCAACCGCCAAAAACCATTTAAAATTTTTAATAAATTCAAAGTTCCGGTTAAATATTTGACCCTGTATCCTCTATACATTCTAAGGTTAAATTTAACGGTACAAAAAGTAACATCCAAGTTAATTTTATTATAATTTAATATTTCTCACTTATTGTCTGTGAGCCGCACTTTGATGAGCCCCGCGTCGATATAGGGTTGTAGCGAGTTATCTATAGAAGTATCGATATGTTTAGTCGATTATTTTATGGTTGGTGTGTAGTTTTTTGAATTCGAAAGTCTGGGCTTATGTTTGTTATTTATTGTTGGTAAAATTATTGAATAAATTTGGTTTAAATGTAGATTAGATATAGATTATACAGTGTGTATTGTATAATTTGAAAGTGTTCATTTAAATACAGTTTGAAGTTATATTAAGCTTACAATAAAAATGACAAATTACTCCATAACATTATAATTCTGATTGATATTAAATAAAACAATAGTCATCGATTTTTTGGTTATAAAAGTACACTCATCTCTCATAATTCGACAGCAATTTACATTTTAAATGAATTACATTTTATTTCATTTGAACTGGTTTGTAATTTTAAACATTTATTCACATTTTTGTAGTAATTATTTAAATTTTATAATCGTTTTGCTTGTAGTAATAGCTTAATAAAACATTTTGTATGCTACAATAATAGAAATGTATACATATAGTATATGTTTATATAATTGTTCTAAAATATTAGATATGTAAATTTTGAGCTGTTTGTATGTAAATTGACGGCCAAGGTAAGAAGAGTTATTCAAATATAGTTCCTATTTTTTTGCCTATTAAGTTGCTGTTAGTTTACCTGACACATTGCGAATGGAATATACATGAATTAGACTAATATAAACTTAGACAGACATTTTACAATAAACTTTGAGTTTGAGATATTATTATTATTACATCGAAAAGCCACATTTTTATCAAAATAATGAAGTTCGTCTGGCCTTATACGCAAAAGAAACTATCATTATTGCATTTAAATTATCATATTAAAAATAACAAAAATAAATAATTGAATGCTCATCGTTTACTATCGATAGAATCAACTATATCGATACAATTATCGCATCCCTAAACCTAAACCCATTCGATTCGATTCTACACTAAAACAAAAAAGGCGGAATTGAACTCCGTACTATTCCGGTCTCTACAACAAAAACTAAACAATCTAATCTGAGATTGCATTACTTAGAACATAATTAACTTTTGTATTGATAAACAATGTATTTTCGACCTTATACACATGAAAATAAAGGTGTTAAAAATATTTGAGGTTGGTTTGTTTGTTTTTTTTGTCAATGATAGTAATTCATAACATTTGTCTTTACGTCTGTCTGTTTAGTTCTATTGTTTATGAGCCTTGCACTTATTACTGCAGTTTGTGCTAATATGGCTTCTTTTTAGTAATTTTAAAAGATTTAACGATTTGAAACTTCATGGCTAAGCTACTGGAGATGCCCGCAAACTTCTCATGTTGATGATTCTGAGTGTTTGCATGCTAGTGAAGGCACCCACGGTACAGGAAAAATCCTAGTGTTATATAGCAGATAAATAAACAGTTTATTGTCATAAAAATCTAGGTTTAATAAAAAAAATGCAGAAATTCACAAAATGGCATTAAATAATTTTGTTGTGAATTACAAAAAAAAATTAAAAAATTATTTTTTTTCGGAAAGATATTAATAATAAATCTAGTAATAAAAAAAACGAGAAAACGTACTTCAAGAGTCTAGAATTCTAGAATATTACGTAACATTTAAAAACCTGTATGTTAAGGAGA